GATTGTGCCACTGCACTCCAGCCTGGGCAATAGAGTGAGACTCTGTCTCAAAAAGATTCAGCTGAGTCCCGGAGTTTCAGGTTACAGTGAGCCATGATTGTGCACTGCATTCCAGGCTCTAAGACAGAGTGAGACTCTGTCTCTTAAAAAAAAATTCTAAAAAACTTTCAGATGGTGTATGGTATTATTATAAAGACAAAGCAGGGTGATGTGACTGTGTTTGTTTCTGCCTGTGTGTTTTGTGCTTTAGAAGTTCTACCTGAGGAGAAGACATTGCAGCAGAGACCTGAATGGCAAGAGAGAGCAAGCCAGGAGGAAAGAACATTCTAGAAAAAAGGAACAACAGATGTACAGGTCCTGAGACAGGAATGTGCTTGGTATGTTCAGGAATGTCAGTGTGATATGGGGTGAGAAATAAAGAGAGATATATTACTTGAGATCAGGGAGGGAAGCAGAGACCAAATCTATTAGGGTCTGGGTAGTTTGTTTCTTTTGAGACGGAGCCTCCTTCTTGTCGCCCAGGCTGGAGTGCAGTGGCTAGATCTCGGTTCACTGCAACATGATTTTTCAAGATCCCTCTGGCTACTGTATGGGGAGTGCCTTGTAGAGGACCAATAGGAGAGAAGCAAGGAGAGCAGGTAGGAGACACGTGTAGCTGCTGAGGTGAAAGGCCATACAGGTGTAAGCAATTCATCTCTGGGTTCCCAGCATCTAACACCGTATTTTATTTTTAAAATTTATTTTATATACATATGTGTGTGCTCATATATATATATATATATTTGAGATGGAGTCTTGCTCTGTTGCCCAGGTTGGAGTACAGTGACACAATCTCTCAGCTCGCTGCAACCTCCGTCTCCTGGTTCAAGTGATTCTCCTGCCTCAGCCTCCCAAGTAGCTGGGATTACCCGAACGCACCACCATTTCTGTCTAATTTGTGTATTTTTAGTAGAGACAGGATTTCGCCATGTTGGCCAGGCTGGTCTCAAATTCCCGACCTCAAGTGATCCACCAGCCTCGACCTCCCAAAGTGCTGAGATTGTAGGCATGAGCCACTACGCCTGGCCTAACACAGTATTTTATTCTTTTCTTTCTTTCTTTTTTTTTTAAAGGAGAGAAGGAAAGAAAAAAAAAAGGAGTGAAGGAGAGGAAGAAAGAGGAAGAAAAAGAGGGAGAGAGAACGGAAATGTTGCTTTATTCTAAAAATGGGTATTAATAATGGCCGATCAATATTTCATTTAAACCTCTGAGTAGGTGTGATGTGGTATTGACAAGAATGTGTATTTTGTATATTTAAAGTGGTGAGCTCTATAAATATTTATTAAGTTTACTTGTTCCGGATCTGAGTTCAAGTTCTGGATATCCTTATTAATTTTCTGTCTTGTTGAGTATAAATCTCTTTATAGGTCTTATGTATCTGGGTGTTAGGATCGTTAGCTCTTATTGTTGCATTGATCCTTTTACCACTATATCTTTGTTGCTTTAAAATCTATTTTATCAGATGTGAGAATTGCAACTCCTGCTCTTTATTTATTCATTTATTTTTGCTCTCCATTTAGTTGGTTAATCTTTCTCCATCCCTTTGTTTTAAGTCTTTGTCTATCTTTGCATGTGAAATGGGTCTGGATGTAGCATACTGTTGGGTTTTGGCTGTATCTTTTGATTGGGGGATTTAGTCTATTTAAATTTGGGATTACTGTCATTTGATGTTAACTGGCTGTTTTGTCCATTCGCTGATGTAAATTCTTCTTTATGTTGGTGCGCTTTACTTTGTGGTATATTTTTAGAAAGGCTAATACTAGTTGTTTCTTTCTATGTGTAATGCTTCTTTCAGAAGCTCTTGTAAAGCAGGCCTGGTGGTAATAAAATCTCTGAGTACTTGCTTTTTCATAAAAGATTTTATTTTTCCTTCAGTTGTGAAGCTTAGTTTGGCTGGATATGAAATTCTGGGCTGAAAGTTCTGTTCTTTAAGGATGTTGAATATTGGCCCCTACTCTCTTCTGGCTTGTAGGGTTTCTGCTGAGAGATCTGCTGTAAGTATGATAGGCTTCCCTTTGTGGGTAACCTGACCTTTCTCTCTGGCTGCCCTTAGTATTGTCTCCTTCGTTTCAACCCTGGTGAATCTAATGATTATGTGCCTTGGGGTTGCTCTTCTTGAGGAATATCTTTGTGGTGTTCTCTGTATTACCTGGAGTTGAATATTGTCCTGCTTTGCTAGATTGGGAAAGTTTTCCTAAATAATATCCTGAAGGGTATTTTCCAGCTTGGATTCATTCTCTCTGTCGCATTCAGGTACACCTATCAAACGTAAATTAGGTCTTTTCACATAGTCCCATATTTTTTGGAGACTTTGCTCATTCCTTTTTATCCTTTTTTCTCTAATCTTGTTTTCTTGTTTTATTTCATTAAGTTGGACTTTGACCTCTGATATCCTTTCTTCTGCTTGATCAATTTGAGTGTTTAAACCTGTGCACACTTCTCAGAGTTCCCATATTGTATTCTTCAGTTCCATTAATTCACAGTATTTTAAATTTATTATTACTATCTGAAGTGTGATTTCACTTTTTTGCCCAGGCTGGTCTCAACCTCTCTGGCTCAAGTGATTCTCCTGCTTCAGCCTCCCAAGTAGCTGGGATTACAGTCATGTGCCACTAAGTATTTTTTGTTTGACATTTGGTGATGGAAGGAATTCATTCACACAACAAATATTGACTGAGTATGCCTCATGGAGGTTTCATGGAGCTTTCATTCTTGTGAGCAAAGGAGATATTAAATGAAACTAATTTATTTTGAGACAGGGTCTCACTCTGTCACCCAGGCTGGAGTGCAGTGGTATAAGCATGGCTCACTGCAGCCTTGACCTCCCCTACTCAGGCATATTCCCACCTCAGCCTCCTGAGTAGTTGGGAGTACAAGCAGGTACCACCACATCCATTTTAATTTTTTTTGTGTAGACTGGGTCTCTGCTTTGTTGCCAGGGTCGGTCTTGAACTCCCGGTCTCAAGTGATCTCTCAGTCTCCCAAAGTGTTGGGATTACAGGTGTGAGCCACTGTGCCCTTGCAGAAAGGAGATTTTTTTTTTGGGGGGGGGATGGCTTTCCGGCCAAAACTGGAAAGCCTGCTAGACAAATTCTAAAAGAGCTGTTAACACTAGAAAGGAGATATTTTAAATAACGTCAGAAATATGTCATGATTTCAATGATAATTCATTCTCTGAAAAGAAATGAGGAAAGGAATAGGAGTGGGGAAAGCTGGGATCAGAGTGGGCAGGAAGTTAAAATAGAGCAATTAGGGAAAGCATCACCGAAGAAGTGACGTTTGGACAATGACCATGGGGAGATGAGGGAATGGGTTATTTGAATTTTCTGGGAAAATAGTGTTCTAGAAAGACGAAATAGCAAGTGCATGATCTTTGAGGCCAGAGTGTGCTAAGAGTGTTGGAGAGGCCCAAGGAGTCCATTGTAGCTGAATTACAGAAGTGAGTGGAAAAGAAGGTGATGAGTTTTGAGAGAAGGGGAGGGCAAAAAACAGGCTATATGGGGCTTTGCAGATTACTGCAAGAATTTTGCAGGAGGGACCTAAACTGACTTGGTTCTTACCAGGATTCCTCTGGCTGCCGTGTTGAGTATAGACGCTAAGGGAAAAGGGTGGAAGCAGGGAGAACACTGAGGAGCCTGAGGCAGTGGTCCAGGTGGGAAGTGATGGTGCTGACAGTGGATAGTAAGTGGTCAGATTATTTTATTTATTTTTTATTTTTATTTTTTCAGATTATTTTATTCACACTCAACACATCTAGTACTGATTCAATATTTTCTAACATACAATCCATATTAAAATTGCCCCCCAAATTCTTTTTACATAAAAAAATTATCCTGAATCTGGCCGGCTGCAGTGGCTCGCTCACCCCTGTAATCCCAGTACTTTGGGAGGCCGAGGCTGGAGGCTAAGGAGGTCAAGAGTTTGAGACCAGCCTGGCTAACATAGTGAAATCGGGTCTCTACTAAAAATACAAAATTAGCCGGTCGTGGTGGCATGTGCCTGTAATCTCAGCTACTCCGGAGGCTGAAGCAGGAGAATCACCTGAACCCGGGAGGCGGCGACTGCAGTGAGTTGAGATCGCGCCATTGCACTCCAGCCCAGGCGACAGTGCGAGAAGCCGTCTCAAAAATAAAAAAAGAAAAAAGGAAAAAAAATTATTCTGAATCCAATCAAGTCTCACCTATTGCTTTTGGTCTTCACCTCTTTCATGTTGTCATATTTTTAAGACTCTAGGCTAGATGTTTTGTAGAATGTCCCACATTCTGAATTCGTTTATTTTTTTTCATGGTTAGATTCAGGTTAGCTTTTTGTGTGTGTACGTGTATGGCAAGAATACAAGCGGTAGCAATATGCTTTCCCCACTGCATCATACTAGGAGACAGGAAACAAGTCTGACCCAGCATTGGTGGTGCTAAATTCGATCACTTGATTGAGGGGGTGCCTGCCAGATCTTTCCATTGTAAAGCAAGGTGTTCTTTCTTGTAAGTCTTAAATAGGCTGTGGGATGATACTTCGGGACTGAATATACCGTGAACTTACTGCTGCCCAACATTTCACCCAGTGACTTTAGCAGCTGAGGAACAGCCTTGTGGCTTCCGACCTTGTGCCTCAGTTCGCTCATCTGAAAAATGAGGATGATCATGGTCCCTACGGGTTGCCTGTTTTGAGGATCCGTGCTTGGCATACCAGAAACGCTCCACAAATGTTAGGTATTACTGGACGAAGGCAAATATGAAAAAAATTAAGGGCAGGGCTAGGACTGCATTCCCGTTCTCCGGGTCCCCAGGCAGCTCCCAGTCGACGCCAAGCGAAAGCGGCCGCAAGATCCCACGTGGCCACGCCCTCCGCCGCGGAAGCCAGGGCTGGGGCGCTGGAACCCTGGGCCGGCCGCGCAAGGCCCCCTGGGACCGGTAGTGCTGGGCGTGGCCACGGGACTACATATCCCAGTGGCCCTCGCGCGGCGGCTTCAGCTGCTGCCGCCTCAGCCCCTCCAGAGCGACCGCGGCGGCTGCGGCTGAGTCGGTCGCGGCGGCGGCGGCTGCGGGCTGAGCGGCGAGTTTCCGATTTAAAGCTGAGCTGCGAGGAAAATGGCGGCGGGAGGTGAGTTGAGATAAAGGAGGAGGCGGCAGCGGCGGGCGAGGGGGTGGAGTGCGAGACGGAGGGAAGAGGGGCGAGTTCCCCAGGCTGCGGGGAGCCGGCGGCTTCAGCTCTGCCGAGGCACCGAGGGGCGCGCCGGCCGGGGGACGCTCTGAGGTAGTTTCGGGGTGTCGGGGCCGTGCTGCTTTCCCTCAGCCCCGGGGGCGGTCCGCGGCGGTCGGAGCGGAGACGAGGCGGGTTGGATCCCCGCTTGGGGATCTGCTGGGGTTCCTGCGCGGAGGGGTCACCCGAGGAGTTTGCAGGGGGACTGCAGGGGCCCACTTTTCCCTTCTGTCCCTGAAGTTTTCACTCCCGCCTGCCTCCCCCAGCCCTTTTGAAAGCTCCCCGCGTCCTCCTCCTGCTGCCCCCGCTCCTTAGCGGCTATTGGGAAGCGCGGGAGGGAAAAGCCGCGGGGACCCCCACCCCAGCCTCCCTGCGGGGTGAGATTTGGTTGCTGTGTTTCCTCCTGCACTAGGGCATTTTACGAATATTTTAACACGAATTGTCCGCGGAATTTTCATGTTGGGCTCGGGTGGGTTCTTAGTTTTCTCGGTAAAAAGCGTTTTACAAAACCTCTGGTGTGAAGGCTGGGAAATGTTAAGTGGGAAGTTGGTTGGTTAAATTTGGGGTTTGGCCTCTTTATTACTACTTTAAAAATTTGCTTTCCTCGTCTCTCATTTTATGAACACCGACTCAGTTTGTCATGGTTTAAATAAGCTGCTTATCTTGTACCTGCCTTAACCAAACTAGCCATGGGGCGTTGGGAGACTTAGTTGCTTCCTAGGCAGTTTGAGAGCACGTAGGGTGGAAAAGTTAACCAAGAGAGCAGTCGAGAGAGAGAGAGCATCTATTTCACTAGCAGGAGTTTGGGAATCCCAAATGGAATGACACGGAAGCTATGAGAGTCTCTCGAAGTCGAAACTTTTTCTCCCCCCTTCCTGAATGCGAAGACTTCCTTTTTGCAGTATTTGAGCAGGGCTTCAAAACCAACCTGTTTTTGTTATTAAGCCTGTACGGTAAAGAAACAGGAAGGAGAGTACCAGCTGTCTTACTGCAGTGGTTTTAAATGGAGTTGAATTGAGATGAGTGAGAGTGGTAGTAGTATTGAGTAAGATTGCTGCATCTCTTTGATTTAAATGCCTGGCCTCGGATCCACCTAATTGATCCCTGGCTGCAAAAAAGCTTCAGTGTTTGTTGCAGCAGGTTTTTGAGAAGGTGATTGGGAAAATAAAAATCTTAGGTCTTCAGCGAAGCCTGCATAAACGGAAATGTTAATGGAAACCTGTAAGTTTGTGAATTGCTCTTGAAAATATTTTAAATGTGTGCTCATTTAGAATATGGTTCTACCGCATGATATCCAATTGGAAAGGTACAAACACATTGAAAAGTGAGTCTCTCTTCCACGCCAAACCCTCCAGTTCTCCCTTCTCGGAGGCAGAGACTGTTACTGGTTTTTAGAATATCCTTGGTCTTTGGAATAATTATTTTAAGATTTTCATTTGAAACCACCTCGGTTGCGTACCAAAGCAGGGAAGTAGAATGAACAGAAGAAACAGAAAATGAGGGAATACTGTTTTACTCTCTTAAAAAAAATGTTGATAGCTATTGGAAAAAGCTCTTCTGGACTTCACTGCTTATGTCACCTTATCTATTAATACCGTTAAAGAAATAATCTGTGGGGCTTCAGAATGAAGAACCTTGCCAGGATTCATTGTATGTAAAATGAAGCCTCTGCTTGTAACATGTAAAATGATATTGAACACTATAGCTTCTGTCACTAGAGGTTGCTTCAGGTTCTGCATTTAAATGAGCAGTAATCTAAATTGCCCGTGATCCTAAATTATAGGGGTATTTTATGTATAAATAGAAATGACTTAATTGTCCAATCAGCATTTGAAATAAAAGAGGCATATACCAGCTTTTGGCAGATAGAAGACGGGGATTATGGACTAATTGGGAGGCTGTAATATTTCTAGAGGAGTTATAGGAGATGTTTCTACCATAAGATATTTAACTACAGGGGCTTTCAAAATGTACAGCAACTTCAGCATCAACAAGAAGATTTACATTTTTATATTTTAGAATTTTTTTTTTTTAAACAATTTGCCAACACTAAAAATTTGTTAAGGAAATTCAGTGATATTCGAGCTAGATTATTAAAGGTTATATTAAATAATTTCGCTATATTTTGAAAGTGATTATGCTGTGCATTTCCTTCTCTGTATAAAAATTATTTCTAAAAAGTGCCGCCCACTTCCTGAACAGATAAATTAGAATTCAGTAAGGAGTGAAATACTGTTGCACCTGGGACCCTTTTTCTAGGAGATGTGCAAATAAAAAGTAGTTTAAAAATGGTTGCTTACTGATGTCTTCCTTTTTTTTTTTCTTCTGAGATGGAGTTTCACTTGTTACCCAGGCTGGAGTGCAGTGGCACGATCTTAGCTCACCACAACCTCCAACTCCTGGGTTCAAGCAATTCTTCTGCCTCAGCCTCCCAAGTAGCTGGGACTACAGGCGTGCGCCACCATGCCCAGCTAATTTTTGTATTTTTAGTAGAAACGAGGTTTCGCCATGTTGACCAGGATGATCCCAATCTCTTGATCTCGTGATTCACCCACCTCTGCCTCCCAAAGTGCTGGGATTATAGGCGTGAGCCACGGTGCCCGGCCTTACTGATGTCTTCTTGGCTGGTATTTTGAAATAAGCTTTCTTGCAGGGACATTACATTAAAGATAAAAGCCTAAGTGTGTGTCTTTTTTTAATTTTAAGGATTCAGTCTTGTGCATTGGTATGTTTCTGGAATAATTCATTTAAACGTGGACTACTGTTATTGAAAAGTCTTTTATAAAATAAAAAATAAATTTTAGTTTGGGCAATGGGGTAAGATTTTAAAAAACTCTACTATTGTCTTTTTCCAAATTAATTGTTAAAATTAATGGCTTTGGGGTTTTTTTCCTCCCCTGGGAGGGGCAGTTCCTTTTGCCTTTTTTTTTTTTTTTTTTTTTTGACAGTCTTGCTCTTTTGCCCAGGCTGGAGTGCAGTGGCAGGATATTGGTTCACTGCAACCTCTGCCTCCTGGGGTTCAAGCTATTCTACTGCCTCAGCTTCCCAAGTAGCTGGGATTACAGTGTGCCACCACACTGGCTATTTTTGTGTTTTTAGTAGAGATGAGGTTTACCATGTTGGCTAGGTTGGTCTTGAACTCCCAACCTCAGGTAATCCACCTGCTTTGTCCTCCCAAAGTGCGGGATTATAGATGTGAGCCATTGCACTGGGCCTGCATTTTTAAAAACTGTGTAATTTCACACTTTGGCCAGAGGAGGTAAAGTAGTTTTGAAACTTTTAATTTGTTGCAAGTTTAGAATAAGTATAGCCTCCAGTTGCAGTTGTCTACAACAGCAGATTTCTCACGATTTAATACAGTTGTTACCCTGCAACAGTAAATTTGTCACAATTTAATAAAATTGTTACTCTGTAACGCTACCTAGAACTAGAGAAACAAGACTTGTTGATCATGATTGAAGAGACTACCTGTACCAGTTTTGTTTGAATCCTTGGTATAAATATTTGTTTTTTGCATTACTGAGTGGTTAAAGCTCTGAGAGCAGAAAATTAGTACTGGAAGTGTATATGAACTTTCTTTTTTCTCATACTTCAAAAGATTGAAAAACAAGGGGGACTCTATGTTAGTTTGGGTTCTAAGGAATACCTCTGATATTGATTGCTGCAGTAAAATATAGGCATTTTCTCTCTCCCTCTTTCTCTTCCTTGTCTTGTCTTTTCCTTTGAGACTTACTCTGTTGCCCAGGCTGGAGTGCAGTGGTGTGATCTCAGCTTCAGCAACCTCCGCCTCCCAGGTTCAACTGATTCTTGTGCCTCAGCCCCTGCGAGTAGTTGGGACTACAGGTGTGAGCCACCATGCCCAGCTAATTTTTGTATTTTTAGTAGAGATGGGGGTTTCACCATGTTGGCCAGGCTGGTCTTGAACTCCTGACTTCAAATTGATTCGCCCGCTTCAGCGTCCCAAAGTGCTGGAATTACAGGCATAAGCCACTGCTCCTGGCCCTTCTCCCACGTTATGAGTGCTTTTTAGGGTTGGGGAGGGGTTGCAAAATGAACATTTCAGAATTAAGGCAGAGGACGGGCTTTGTGGTAATGAGGCATTGTAATGAGTTTGTATTACCGTAGGGATTGATTACCTGAGGTTGGCTAGCCTGGTCAACATGGTAAATCTTGTCTCTACTGAAAATACATGAGTTTGGTAAATGTTTTTACTAGGTAAATTCATTTTGTCCATTGTTTTTCTGGGAGGATTTCTTGGAGAAGATTATTTTGGTTTAAAGATGCAATTTATCCAGAGCCTAACCTTGTTTTCAGCCCCTTAACAAATTATGGAATTGAATTTAATTGGCTTTCCCTTTTCCAACCTTCTGGTGGAGAGTTTTTAAATGAACAGGAAAATGGCCAGAAGATACACAGCAGGAGTAGAAAGGGAGACCTGCAATGTGTAGAAGGCCGATTTATCCACAAACTGGATAAAGTAGTACTACCTACTGTCAGTACCTAACTTTGTTAGCATTAACTCAGTTTGGTAGGTGCTGCCAGCCTAGGTCAATTTACAGTGGGGGGCAATAATAAGGGTTTATTTAACTGACTGTGTAGTAAACTTTGTGGCCTAAAGGCAAAGGAAAGGACCTGACCTGACTGGCAAACAGGTTTTACCCCTTTAAAATAATATTCTAAGAGCAAATGGACTAATGTCTTTTTTGTTTGGCTTTTAAAATATTTTTGTTAGGAACAGCTGTGTCCTATTTTTTCTGTTAAATTTTTTTTTTATTGATAGGTTCTAGGAAAGGGTGTGACATTTTTCATCTGCTAATGTTATGAAAAGGTATTCTGTTTAAATGTTTCATTTCCTTGGTTAGAGGCTATGAGTGTAGGTTATGCAGCTTCACTTTTTGGAA